ATCTTTGAATATATTATTTTTCTTTTGTTATTGAAATTTATTTCTTATTTCACTACGTCACAATATAATACTTGCCTATGTTCACGTACATTGACGAATTGTCTAGTACGGACATACGTTATTCTCAAAATCTATTCTAATATCTATAATCCGGTCTGCGGGATTGTAACTTTAAAGCCATTCACTATTAAATTATCAAATTTATTTAATAGCTCATATCGTTTTTTACCCTCTTCCTATAGCGAAAGTTATTCTTTTGCTTCAGTCAATTATTGTACTGCAATGTGTGAATAAATCATTTAGTAATCATTTTTTTGGAACCTTTTACAGAATAATTACAATTTTACATAGTATTACCAATATTAAGGGTATGTTATTTTAGCTTTATTTAAAAAGAACTCTATTAAAATATTATGAATATACTTACCTACAAATCTTAGTGGACCAGGCATGTTTTTTCAATGTTCGCGAAGTTTGAATGTTCGCGAAGACAAGTTACAAGTCGAAGGCAGATTACAAGACGACAAGTTAGTAATTCTTGGCCTTGGGAAAAACATTGTTCTTTCATGAATCTTACGTTGCAATGTCTTGTGACGATTCGAAGATCTGATGTCTTGGTACAGAAGAATCTTCAAAGTTTTCGATGAGTCTTCTTTTCTTGACTTTACTCCTAATCAAAATGTATGTATTCGTCTTACTCTCATGTAACATTGGAAATTAGAATTTTAATAATTACAGTAAAAAAATAACAAAATTAACATTTAAATTCTGAAAATGACCTAAATATCATTATTACAGAGACAACTATTTACATATTATGCGGTAATGTCACGGTAGACATTCTACCGCGAAACGTATAATCCACCTTTATTACACGGCCTACTTCCATATTATTAGATGTAACATTAATACTGTTTAAACAAGTCCATTCTTGTTCCACGAGTTAAAAAATTAAACTATTTTCTGAAGAAACTCATATTAACGTAACATCAATCACGAAAACTGATCTTCCATCCTTCTATGCAATAGTTTGAAATCAATTTCCCCATCTCTCTATACCGAAGTCTAAGCTTGATCTCTACATCCACAGCTACCGAAGTCTAAATTCGTTCTACTTAACTAGACGTCTGAAACGATCCTTTCTAAATATTTTCTATATGATATTTTGTACCTAATTTTGTTATTAAATATATTATCCTGCTGATCTTTCTCTTTTATAGTACCATACAGGTAGCAAAACGTGACATATAGGTAGTATCCTTCCTGAAAATATTACTTCTGAAGAAATATTAAATTTTTATTTTCCGTAATACAGTTTTTACCTAATGACGACCGTTTATAATCACTAATTCTGATGCTAATTCGAAATCTGATGTTCATTTGAGCCTCGATTACACCCAAGTCCTGAAATTAGCTTAATAACATTTATGTTTTATCTTCACTAATGCCAAACATAGCTGCCAAATGTCTCCTTCAGACACATTGTTCTGTTCTAGTTTACATTCCGTATTTAATGTTAATAAATGTGTGTTATTTATATTTTTATATCAAACAACCCTTGAGATGTATATTTCGATGCTTAAGATTGAAGAAAGAAGACAAAAGATAACAATGTCTATCAGAAAAATCTATAGCCATTGTTTCAAATAATTTTAAAATACTCTTTTAAAATAAATACAAAATTATTAGAATGTACATTTTTACAAAAACATTTGAAGTTTAATTCACATGTTGTGTGAATGCACTCCTGATTTC